AATTTACTGTATATGCGTTAAATAGACATATTTTCATTTTTTTTTTCTGCCAGGCAGAGTTAGACAGTGAGAGAGAGACAGAGAGAAAGGTCCTCCCTCCGTTGGTTCACTCCCCTAATGGCCGCCACAGCTGGCATTGTGCTGATCCAAAGCCAGGAGCTGGGTACTTCCTCCTGGTCTCCCATGCGGGTACAAGGACCCAAGCACTTGGGCCATCCTCCACTGCCCTCCTGGGCCACAGCAGAGAGCTGGACTGGAAGAGAAGCAACCGGGACTAGAACCTGGGGTGCCGGCGCCGCAGGCAGAGGATTAGCCAAGTGAGCCATGGCGCCATGGGACATATTTTCATTTAATTATCGTTTATAGCCCTTGCCTATAGTCTTGCTGAACTATGGCTTTTTTTTTTTTTTTACTTTTTATTTGTTGAATTTCTTATTTAGTGGAGCATTAAGGCTTTTAATCATAATGTAAATTAAAAATGTTATCTCAAAAATTGAAAAAATGAAATAGAAAATTCTTAGTTGGGGGGGCCGTGCTGTGGCGTAGTCAGTTAAGTCTCTGACTGAGGCACTGGCATCCCATATGGGCACCAGTTTGAGTTCCGGCTGCTCCACTTCCGATCCAGCTCTATGCTTATGGCCTGGGAAAGCAGTGGAAGATGACCCAATTGGTTGGGCTCCTGCACCCATGTGGGAGACCTTGAGGGAGCTCCTGGCTCCTGGCTTCAGACTGGCTCAGCTCCGGCAGTAGCAGACATTTTGGGAGTGAACCAAAATGCCTCTCCCTCTGTCTCTCCCTCCCTCTATCTGTATGTAACTCTGCCTCTCAAATAAATAAATCTTCAGAGAGAGAGAGAGAGAGCATGATGAGATCAAATAGGCTAAGAAAGGATAGCTGGGTAGCCATTCATTCATTCATTCATTCAGCTGATAACTGTTTTTCTTTTGAGCATTTGCTTCATCCCAGGCACTGAAAACCCAGAAGATATACAGAGATACCCGTTCTAGTTTAAAATACTTCCTTAGGAGTAGGCATTTGGCCTAATGGTTAAGATGCCTGTATTCCAAATTGGAGTGCTTGCGTTCAGTGCCTGTCTCCAGCTCCTGACTTCGGCTTCATGCTAAAGCAGACCCTGGGAGGCAGCAGTGATGTGAAAGATAGGCAAGGAAACAGAGGCTAAGAGCGCTGCCTGTTATATTACGAAAGGGCACCTGACCCAACCTGGAGGAGAGAAGGCCACAGGGCAGACTTCTTCAAGGAGACAGATTCAGAACTGTCTAGAAATAAATAATAAAGATTTATTTATTTGAGAGGCAGAGTTACAGATGGAGAGAGAGGTCTTCCATCCTCTGGTTTGCTTTCCAAATGACCACATAGCCGGAATTGAGCCAATCCAAAGCTAGGAGCTTCTTTCAGGTCTCCCACATGGGTGCAGGGGCCTATGCACTTGGGCCATCTTCCACTGCTTTCCCAGGCCATAAGCAGAGAGTTAGATCAGAAGTGGAATAGCTGGGACTTGAATTGACACCCATATGGGATGCTGGCACTGTAAGCGGAGGCTTAACCTACCACAGTGCCGGCCCCCAGAGCAGAGTCTTAAAGGACAAACAGGAGTTAGATAAAGAAAGGGAGGCGAGGACATTGTAGTAAGAGGTCCACATTGTGTTCAGAGGTCAAGCATCCATGAATAATATTGATTAAATCCCTACTTTTAGGCAAGCATTGTGCTCAGTGTCTCACCAGGTTTATTCCACTTTGTCGTCACTAGCTGTACTTGAATCTAGGCATCCCCATTTTACAGGTATGAAAACTGAGTATCAGAAACATTAATTAACTTCTCCAGGCACACCGATAGTAGGAGATATCACTGGTATTTTAACTCAGGTTCTTATGAATTTAGAAGCAGACCTCTTAGACATTTGCAAGCACGTTTTTTCTAGAGAGGTAGAGAGAAAGAAAGAGCAAGCAAGGGAATGAGAAGGAGAGCACTGCTCTCATATCCTCTGGCTAACTCCATACCTGCCCACAACAGCCAGGACTGGGCCTGGGCCAAAGCCAGCAGCCAGGAACCCAATCTAGGTCTCCCATATGGGTGGTAGGAACTCAACTGATTGAGCCATCATCACTGCCTCCCAGGTCGGCATGACCAGGAAGCTGGAATCAGGAGCTAGAGCCAGGAATTTAACCCAGGCACTCTGATTTGAGATGAAGGCATTGTAATCAGTGTCTAAACTGCTATGCACCCCCAAGCACTTTTGATCATACACACTCTCAGTAAATTTTTATAGGCAGGCACTCCTAAATAAATGATTATTCAATAACTTACTCATTTATGTATAAGTTATATACACATGTACTAATATATTTTGCATTATTATAAGATGCAAAAGTATAAAAATTGTGAAGTTAGAGTGGATGATAAATAAACATATTTTAAAAAGTTCCTACTGGGGGCTGGCACTGTGGTGCAGTGGGTTAAGTCACCTCTTGGGATGACTGCATCCCATATATCAGGGTGCTTGTTCAAGTCTTAGCTACTCTGCTTCTGATCCATCTTCCTGCTGATGTGGCTGGGAAGCAGCAGATGATGGCTCAAGTACTTGTGCCCCTGCCACCCTACATGGAAGACTCAGAGGGAGTTCCTGGCTCCTGGCTTCAGCCTGACCCAGCACTGGATATTGTGGGGAATGAACCAGCAAATGGAAGATCTCTCTGTCTGTGTTTCTGTCTCCATCTCCTCCTCTCCTCCTCTGTCATTCTGCCTTTCAAATAAATCTTTGAAAACAATTACTGCTGATGACAACAGCTGGATACTATCAGATTATATTTCAAGGCCCAGTGTATATTTGTTGATAAAGAAAATAGCTGTAAATCTACATTTCAAATCTTGGTAGTTTTAACTTTCAGGAGGTCAAATTCTGATCCCATTAGATCATTGTTGCTTATGAGCTCATGATGCTGCTAAGGAGGAGTTTGCCCTAGGAGTAAAAGGATTGTCTTCAATCCTTGGTTTCTTTGCAGTGATCTTTTAACCACTTGTCATCTGCTGAAAGTAGATTTAGTGTAAACTAGATAAATCATAAATCCACTTAGCCTAGCAAATGGAAACTGTCGGGTGCATAAATGAAGCGCTGTGCTAACCCCTCCCTCTGTGGAAAGCCCACTGCTCTCTCAGGACGCCTTGCATGCCAACAAGAGCATGTGTGTGACAAGACGACATGTCCCAGCTGACAGACAAGCAGTAAAGGAGCAGCAGGTCACCAGCCTCCTGACTGGGCTTCCCCTGCTTGGTGGACTGTTGGGTTTCCATCTGTGAATTACAAGAACCTGAGCGCTGTTCATCATGAGGTGAAATCCTATATGGGCTTGGTCCTTCTTGGACCTCATGATGATGTTGAATGACTGAAGCAATAGAAGGACTCATGTTTTATGGTCAGACTATGGACTGTCACAACTCTAGGGGCAGCCTTGGGGTGATCCTGGTCCATATCTGATATCTGGCCAAAATGATAAATGGACTTTAGAAAAACAAAAGCAAAAAGTTCTATCTTGGCTTTCTTAGATCCATTTGGACAGTCCAGGGTACTTCATGCTGCTGGGTAGTGAGCTATGGTCCTAGAATCCATGAGTTCCATAACTGTGGTGTGCCAGATGTGTGCAGAGGTTGCAGCCATGACCAACGCAGGCAGGATTCCTGCCTTCATGGTACCTGCAGTCTGCATGCAACCAGACATTAAACAAATGATAGCATGATGCTAGAATTAATGACTCTTTTTTTTTAGATTTATTTATTTGAAAGGCAGAGTTACATACAGAGGGAGAGACAGAGATGGAGGTCTTCCATCTACTGGTTTACCCCCCAAATGGCCACAATGGCTGGAGCTGGGCCAATCCAAAGTCAAGAGCCAGGAGCTTCTTCTGGATCTCTCATGTGGGTGCAGGGACCCGAGGACTTTGGCCATCTTTCACTGCTTTCCCAGGCCATTTACAGAGAGCTGGATCAGAAGAGGAGTAGCTGGGACTAGAACCGGCACCCGTATGTGTTGCTGGCCTTGCAGGTGGAGGCTTCATCTACTACACCGCAGCACCGGCCCCGGCTTACTCTTGTAAATGGGGCCTTCGAAGGTTGAGTACCAGCTGCTAGGGAAGCAGAGAAATGTCATCCAGTCTGGAAGGTCAGGGAAGGTTCTCTTGAAGACAGATGTTTAAACTGACATGTGAAGGATGACAGTGATGGAGGTGGGGATGGAAGGTCCTGTCACAGAGGAGATGGGCCTTCCAGTCCGGTTCATCCCTCAGCGCCAGTGTGGTGCCCAGTAGAAGCTGCAAAGGAGACAGTGGGAAGAGAAGCTAAGACAGAGCAGACCCTGCAGCTTGTTAGAGAGTAGGAGAAACAATTAAAGGGTCTTTAAACCTCCAAGAAACACCATATGATCAGATTTGCAGACTTAAGAAGATCCTTTTAGCCACAGTATGTAAAATTGAATGGAGAGTGGAAGACCTGAGGGTTGATTGCTTCCCACTGATTAACAGAATTGAAATAACAGCCACCAGGGCAAGACCGAGCTGGAAAACAGGAAACTGAGGGCATAGAGAGAAGCCAGATGCCCCCTCCCCACCTTAAGAATTTTATTCATTCATTTATTATAAAATTAATTTAAGAAGTTCAAATGAAGTCATGCATTTTTGAATAAGAGTTTATAACAACTACTGTAGTTGAATATTGCACGCTTATTTTGCTGATTTTGGGGCAACCACTTGGAGTGGTGTTGCATGTATGTTCGTGCTGTTTGTTGAGGCAGTTGGTCAGCTGAGGGGAGGGCAATGAGAGGATGGCTTTCCCTCAAAGACTGGTGCTTATGTTGGTTTTATGGGTCAAGTTCAATCTTTGGGATGGACAAGGATTTTAGCATCCTATACAGCCTATGTACAAACAGGATTTTAGATTTATGACTTAAAAAACAAGAACGTAATGCATTGGTCACTCCTAATTACTACAGGTAACACCCATGAGCGAGGAGTGCCGTTCCCACGAGAGGCCTCATTAATGAAGCACACGTGTCGAGTGGACCTCTTTGACGACCCTTGCTACATTAACACGCAGGCTCTTCAAAGCACACTTGGCTGTGCCAGAGATCAGAGCTCAGGTCAGCCACCGGGGAACTCATGGCATCGTGGAAGTAAGTACCTACTCACTGCCTGTGTTAGTTTTCTGGGCTGTTATAACAAATGGCCACAAACTGCGTATCTGAAAAGAAGAGAAATTTATTCTCTCAGAGTTCTGGGGGGCGGAAGTCTGAAATTAAGGTGTTAGCATGATGAGTTCTTTCTGTGGGCTCTGGAAGGGGATCTGTCCCACCCCTCTTCTTGCTTCCGGCTGCTGCAGTAATTCTTCATGCTCCTTGGCCTAGAGATGCATCAGTCCTCAGAGGACCCGCCCCGTGTCTCTGCGTCTCACACCCCCCTCTCTCCTAGAGGACAAGTCATTGGATTTAGGAGAGCTGAGGTGATCACATGAAAGACCATCTCACCTCAAGATTCGTAATTGAATTACACTTGCAAAGGCTTTCTTGCCAAATTAGGTTACATTCACAGGTACCAGGGATTAGGACTGAACATATCTTTTACATTACCTGTCTCTCATTTTTTTTTAAAAGATTTATTTATTTATTTGAAAGTCAGAGTTACACAGAGAGTGAAGGTGAGGCAGAGAGAGAGAGAGAGGGAGGGAGGGAGGGGTCAAGGGAGGGGTCTTCCATGCACTGATTCACTCCCCAATTGGCTGCAACAGCTGGAGTTGCGCTTATCTGAAGTCAGGAGCCAGGAGCTTCTTCTGGGTCTCCCACGTGTGTGCAGGGGTCCAAGCACTTGGGCCATCTTCCACTGCTTTCCCAGGTGCATTAGCAGGGAGCTGGATCAGAAGTGGAGCAGCGGGGACATGAGTGGGTGCCCATATGGGATGCCGGTGTGGCAGCTTTGCTGGCTATGCCACAGTGCGGGCCCCCTAAAGGGAGCCCTCATTTTTAGAGTTACAGGGATTCTTTCTTCACCTCAGTCTCTCACTTCAGTTAATATAGATCAGAACTTTGTGGAAATGTTTTAAATGTTTTAGGTTTCAAGGTTTTTTTTGAATAATCCTTTCAAATATTTTAAATTGACTCCCATTTTGGTTTCTGCTGTGTGCTTTTGCTGTAGGAAGGCTGTTAAACACTGGAGATTTTGCTTATTTGCATGAGCAACAATGGCCACTATTTCTGTTTTATGTAATGATGGTATTAATTTTATTCATTTCCTAACCCCTTGATAAGTCATCTATACAACACTAAAATGAGATAGCTCCTTTCTGCAGCCTTATACTGTGGTAAGATACAATAAGACAAACAGAATTTTCCTGCCGAATTGCTTCCAGGGGTAAATGCATAAACAGGAACATAAATAAATAAGAGCAGAACAAGCCAAAGGCCTACAATCAACTGAAAAATAAATAAACAGAAATGCTTTTTATAAAATATTGAAGCTTGTTGGGTTCAGAGATTGGCTTGGTCTCAAATTTGGTTTGCTCCAGAAATGGAGAGCCAGTTCTGAGAAAGCCCTTTCCCCAGCCCAGCGAGTTTCTCCAGAGCTGCCAAAGGCAACTTTCCAGTGTGGCTGGGGTGGCAGGCAGCACTGTAAAGGAGATTCTGTTGCACTTGGGCTTCACTAGACTGCCTTAATTCTCTAGATGAAGAGAATCTTCATTGTCAGGCGGGGGCAAATGGTCCGTCTCTTTTGAGACATTCTAGGATCATTCTTGGTACCCAACCCAACCAAGTTAGATCCTCTAGAAGTAGATACTAAGAGAAAACTTGACATGTAGGGTCCTTATGGGCATCAATGTTAGGAAGCCAGGGGGAGGGCTGGATAGAGGGGAGATGGAAGTACAAGGGAGCCTGTGTGGTCTGTCAAGTGTCCCACATTGGATTGAAGTGGCTGGGTCTTTATCCCTGGGTTATGCCAGTCTTTGTATGTGGGCCATTCTAGGGTGGATAAGCCCGTGGCAGCTGAGACAGACCTTGAATTGCTAGTAAACTGGGAAGTGACACCTGGGGCAATTAGTCCTTTCTTGAAGGGGGATTTGGGTGGTGCTTCTCAGGTCCACCACAGAGAACATCTTGTCTGATGGGTGGTGGGATATGAAGCATTCAGACTCCTGCAGTAAGCAGAACTCAACTGTTGAATGTGAAATATTCTGTGTGGATAAGTTTAAATATTTTAGAGAGATAGCTTTTTGGGAAAAGAAAGTTTCTAGACCCTAGGTTTTAAAAGTAAGGCAAGGGGCCAGTGCTGTGGCACAGTGGGTTAAAGCCCCGGCCTGCAGTGCCAGCATCCCATATGGGCACTGGTTTGAGTCGCAGCAGCTCCACTTCCAATCCAGTTCCCTGTTAATGTGCCTGGGAAAGCAATGGAAGATGGCCCAATCCCTGCACCCATGTGGGAGACCCAGAAGAAGCTCCTGGTTTCAGCCGGTCCCAATCCTGACCATTGTGGCCACTTGGGGAGTGACCCAGTGGATGGAAGATCTCTCTGTCTCTCTCTCTGTGTGCCTCTGCCTCTCCTTCTCGGTTACTCTGACTTTCAAATAAAATAAATCTTTTAAAAAAGTAAATATTTTTAAAAAGTAAAACATAATTTTAAAAATCTGTCACATAGTGTGCTTTTAGCAGAATTAGATTTTCAGCAAATGTTTGGATGATTGAAATCTCCCGGCACAGTGTATCTTGTCTTTTTGCTAATTTGGGAAACTATGTTAGGAAAACATTGTCCACATCCTCTGGCTGGCCCATGATCTAGTGCCTCTTTTCAAGATGATATAATGTCTGTTTTTCTTTTGTTTTGTCCTTGTCCAAAAGTTCTTCACCATAATCTCAGAATAAACCAGAAGCCATCATGCACTAAACTGTGCACACACACACACACACATGCACACAAGCACACATCCACACCCAAGTAAACACACACAGATGGACAGAGTTACTCATTAGAAGGTCTCCATCGTGCTGGAAAGCAGGCACACCAAGGCCAGCTATAAGGATTATTCATCAAATCTGGACATGTTTCATCAGGCTTTTCCTGGCAACAATGGAAATACTTGCTTGTAGAGGAGAATGTTTCCAGTCATTAGATTTCGAAGAAGGATATATTTTTGAAAGATATAGTTGAGAGTGCTGCATCATAACTGTGTTATGCAGAAAGAAGTTCTTAAGTAGGGACGAAATTAGAACATATTAATAGAATTGAACTGTGTCTACATCTACAGGCGCTGCTTGCCTATGCTAACGACTTTCGGGGGTGGTCATATATATAAGTTGTCAAACTCAGAGCCAAGCAAGTTTCCCATTTGTGAAACCTTTGGATAAGGACCTTTGTGTTAATAGAGGTGAAGGTTGGTTTCTATGCGAAAGATCTCCTGCGTTTCACAGTGCATTTAGTTATCCCTTAGAACTGCAGGGAGTGGGTTCAGCATCTCCCACCAACCCTGGAATCTGTGGATGCTCCAGGGTCTTATATAAGATGGTGTAGTATTGGCACAACCTATGCATATCTTCTTGAGTGCTTTAAGTCATTTCTAAATTACTTATATTACCTAATACAATGAACATGCTATGTAGTGGTTGTTTTACTGGATTGTGTAGGGAACAATGACAAGAAAAAAATAAGTCTCCACAAGTTTGATGAGACAAAAAGTTCTTTTCATATATTTTCAGTCCGAGCATGGTTGAATCTGGGGATGTAGAACTGTGGACCTGGAGGGTGGACTGTATAAAGCCTGGTCTCTATGGTTATTTTTCCCAGTAAATTTGTCACATTAAATGCACAGCTTTTCTTTTCCTGGATTCAGATGTAAGAATTTTATGTCATTGCTTCTGGAGATGCTTCCTGGCATCTTGAGAGCCTCATCATCTACTAGAGACCTTTGTGGGCACTGCAGAACTGAAAGATTTTACATGCAAGGCAAGGGCCTTAGAGTTTGGAGAACCTGGGCTTTGGAATCAGATAGACTTTATTTCAAATCCTGTGACTTTGGCTAAGTAACCTCTGTGTGAAGACCCATGTCCTTGTCTGCCTAATTTTGAGAATTAAGCAGTACAATGGATGTGAAGCATTCAGATGGGCTTTCATAATCCGCAGGAACTACACAATAGTTACTGTCACTGTGAGTTTAAAGCGGTGCCACCAGCTCACCGGCTTTTTGATGCTTACCCTGTAGACCGTTTCTCATCACCAGTGTTCTCAACTCTAGACAACACTTATTCTGCAGAGCCTGGGGGAACTGCCTCAGACCTGTGTCCCTGAAGTTTTGCTTGCTTTTAGCTCATCAAGTCTGTTTTGTCCATACACGTGAAAGACACAAAGCTGAGTGATCAATTACTAGGAATGCTGTGAGGGTTAGCAAAGCTTTGAAATTTCTGGTCAGGACAATGTCCAGAAGTTCAGCACTGATTTGGTTATAAAAATCCCAAATGCTCAAACATGGACATGGTCCAGAGTTACCATAGCTATTTTCATAGAGTTTGGGAACACTGTAGGAGTTATCTGTAGTCTAGGTGCAGGATAAGGCTTTTTTTTCTCTTTCACAAGCAGCCCTTGGGACATAAAGAACCTCTCTCTGCAGTTATAAAAGCAGTTCTCATGGGCCAGTTCCATTTCTGATCTGAAAGGAAAATTCTTGCACATGGGCGAGCCTTTGCTGGTAACAGAAGCCAAAGGCAATGTTTGGATCAACCATTAAGTGAGGGACTGTGGGGAGTTCTGAAAGCAAAAACCTCATTTGTTTAGGAACGGGCTTAGTTAAACAGTGCCCAGCACGCAATAGGACCCCAAGTCGTATTTGAGGATGGATGGATGAAGGGTAACGTGGTGATGACCTTCTTTGTGTTCTGATTTCAGAGACACCAGAAACTGTTCAACCAGGTGCCACAGCCCAGCCTGCCAGCTCGCATTCCTTGCCACACATTAAGCAGCAGCTGTGGAATGAAGAGTGTTACCATGGCAAGCTGAGCAGGAAGGCGGCAGAGAGCCTCTTGGTTAAGGACGGGGACTTTTTGGTTCGAGAGAGTGCAACCTCCCCTGGCCAGTATGTGCTGAGCGGACTCCAGGGAGGCCAGGCGAAACATCTGCTCCTGGTGGATCCTGAAGGCAAGGTATCACCAGCTTCGCATGACAGGTTCACAGGGCGGGGTGTTTTGTTAAGAATAACCTGAGTGGTTTCTAAAACTGGCATTGGATAGTGTCCGAGGCTAAGTGTTTAATGTCTCTTGAACCTTCCAGCTGGTGCAGGAAGTGCTAAATAGAGAGCAGGGAGGCGTGAGAGCGGGAAGCCACGCTGGGTCATCAGGTAGAGGATGGCCTCTTCCTGCCTGCCTCAGTTCAGTTCCACAAAGTGAAGGAATATGTGATATGAGGAAGTTAAGGGACCCACAGGTCATGATGCTCAGTATCACATATGTAGTCCTTTTTTCCTTTTTAAAGATTTTATTTATTTATTTATTTGAGAGGTAGAGTTACAGAATGAGAGAGAGAGAAAGGCCTTCCATCTGCTGATTCACTCCCCAAATGGCTGCAACGGGCAGAGCTGGGCTAATCCGAAGCCAGGAGCTTCTTCTGGGTCTCCCACGTGGGTGCGGTGGCCCAAGCACCCAGGCCGTCTTCCATTGCTTTCCCAGGCCATAGCCGAGAGCAGGATCGGTAGAGGAGCAGCTGGGACTGAAACTATGTGGAGACTTAGCCCACTACCCCACAGCGCTGGCCCCGCGTATGTAGTTCTTACTGTCAGGGTGCCTATGGTTCCATGAAACAGGTGCTTAAATAATTATAAGGATGAATGAGTTAAGGATGGTTCAACCGAAGAATCATGGTATGGCTCAGGATCGAGAGGTTGCTCTGGTTGAGGCAAAGTGAGAAGGCTCCTTATGGGGTCTGACACATAAGATAAACGTTGAAAAGAGGGCGTGATTTAAGAATGGGGACATTCAGAATATAGGGAAGGGACCGAAGGAGCAGACAGAGTGACAGAATGTTATGAAGCCAATAGAAGGTGTATGGCTGGAGCAGAGGGCACCATTAAGACAGAAAAATGATCCAGCAAAGGCAGGTTGGAGCCGTCCCATGGGACGTAATGTGGAGTAAGCTGCCTGAATGGCCAGATAGTGCGGGGGTGGGGGCAGGCCATTGGCAATTGGATACAATCCAAACCTGTGTGGGCGGTGACATCATCAGGATTGCAGAAGGGGAAGTCCCAGCCCTCATTCACCCACAGAAACACTGATTTAACAACTTAGATGGACCAAAATAGCGTCATGAGAATTGCAGAATCCAGTCGAGAAGGTGTAATACCCAGGTAAGCATAAGGCTGAAAACAGTCACGTTGACTTGCGTAAGGAGAGCAAGTTCACCTTGGCAGCGTCCATCCCTTTCCTGAGCCAGCACAGCTCAGTGCCTGCAGAAAATGCCTGGACGCACGACTTCTCCCGCGGTGGGGGAAGAGTAGAGTGGAGCGTGCAGCCATGGCTTGGCTTTTTGCGGGCTGCCTGAGGAACTGGTTTCCATCTGGCCTCCTTCGAAGCCCTGGTGGAACCAGCAGGGTTCGGACGCCCGGGTGCCACTGAGGACAGAGTACAGGGAAGCAGCTGCCCTTCCTCAGTGTGGGCAGGAGCGTGTGCACAATATGAGGCTTCTCCCTCAGGAGGGAGGAGAGAAGCCAAGTGCCACCAGCTCTCTGGCTTTTGGATGCAGGACTGCTTGATGGACCGGTGTCTGCCCTGCCTGTCGCAGTGCAGACGTCGTCAGTGGCCACTGAGAACTAGAGAGAATGGTGTGGCTTGCTGCTGTAGCGCCAAAGGACATGCAGTACCACAAAAGGACACCAGAGGGGGCAAGGGATTGCAAATCCTTGGAAACTAGCAAGCCTCTGTAATTCAAAAATTGATCATACAGGCCCAGAGAGGTCACATCCCTCTTCAAAAGGTTGTAAAACTTCTTGAAACTCCAGCTGGTCTGAGATGACGGTGTCCCCTTATATGAAGCCAGTTTATACTGGGAGAGGCAGCTGGTGTTTTGTTTTGTTGTTGTTGTTTTGACAGGTAGAGTTATAGTCAGTGAGAGAGAGACAGAAAGGTCTTCCTTCCGTTGGTTCACCCCTCAAATGGCCGCTACAGCCAGTGTACTGCGCCAATCCGAAGCCAGGAGCCAGGTGCTTCCTCCTGGTCTCCCATGTGGGTGCAGGGCCCAAGCACTTGGGCCATCCTCCACTGCCCTCCCGGGCCACAGTAGAGAGCTGGACTGGAAGAGGAGCAACCAGGACTAGAACCCAGCACCCATATAGGATGTCGGCGCAGCAGGTGGAGGATTAACCAAGTGAGCCATGGTGCCGGCCCTGCAGTGCTTTTAAACGCATGGATCCCACGTTTTGAGACACATGAGAGCAAACATGGTTCAAAAAGAACAAAATAAATCTTAAAGAAACCTATCTCCCTGAAACAAAGATATATATAAATTACCTGACAAAGACTTCAAAATAGTCATCCTAAAGGTACTCTATGAGCTCAAGAACACAATCCAGAACAAAATGAGAATATTAGTAATGAAAGATAACAAAAAGCAATCAGAGGGGCTGGCGCTGTGGCACAGCAGGTTAAGCTGCTGCCTGCGGTGTCGTCATCCCATATGGGCACCGGTTCTAGTCCCAGCTGCTCCACTTCCAATCCAGCTCCCTGCTAATGCACCTTGGAATGCAGCAGAAGATGGCTCACATGCTTGGGCCCCTGCACCCACGTGGGTGACCCAGAAGAAGCTCCTGGCTTCAGCCTGGCCCAGCAGTCATTTGGGGAGTGGACCTATAGCTAGATAGCTAGATCTGTCTCTTTCTCTGTTTCTGCACCTCTCTGTGTAGCTCTGCCTTTCAAATAAAAAAAATAAATACTTTTTAAAAAATCAGAAATTGTGGAGTTGCAAAATACAACAATAGGGAGTCAGTGCCATGGCGCAGTGGGTTAATCCTCCGCCTTTGGCCCTGGCATCCCATATGGGCATGCGTTCTAGTCCTGGCTGCTCCTTTTCTAATCCAGCTCTCTGCTGTGGTCTGGGAAAACAGTAGATGATGGCCCAAGTCCTTGGGCCCCTGCACCCACGTGGGAGACCGGGAAGAAGCACCTAGCTCCTGGCTTCTGATCAATGCAGCTCTGGCCATTGCGGCCATTTGGGGAGTGAACCAATGGATGGAAGACCTTTCTCTCTGTCTTTCCCTACTGTCTGTAACTCTACCTCTCAAACAAATAGATAAAGTCAATAACAGGACAGAAAAATTCACTAGAGGGGTTCAACAGCAGACTTCATCAAGCAGAAGAATCACTGAACTTGAAGCTGGGCTATTTAAAATTATCCAGACAGGGAAACAAACAAAATAATGAAAAAAAAAAAGAATGAAACCTAAGGAACTTCTGGGATACCAATCTAATGCCAATACCAGTATGTGCATTATGGGAGTCCAAAAAGGACAGAGAACGGGAGGAGAAAGCATAAAGAAACCATGGATTGCCCCGAATTCCTCAAATCTGGAGAAGGAACTGAGCATCATAGTAAAGAAGCCCAAAGAGGGGTGGGCATTGTGGGATACACATCCTGTATTCGTGTGATAATTCAAGTCCCAGCTCCTCTGCTTCCAGTCCAGGGTCCTGCTAATGTACCCGGGAAACAACAGATGATGGTGGAAGTACCTGGATGCCCGCCACCCTATGGAATACTCATTCTGAGTTCTGGACTCCTGGCTTCAGCCTGGCCCAGCTCTGGCTGTTGCAGGCATTTGAGGAGTGAACCAATAGATGGAAGATTTCTCCGTCTTTCTGTCCCTCTGAGGGAGAGAGAGGGGGGAGAGAAGAGGGAAGAAGGGGGAGGGGGGGAGAGGGAGACGGGGGAGAGGGAGAGGAAGATTTAAAAAAAGAGAGCAAGACCTAGAGAGAATACATCAAGTAAAATAAGCTAATCACAGAGGGACAAATGCTTTATTATTCCACCCACAAGGAAACAAACTCAGAAAGTAGAATGGTGGTTGCTAGGCAGTGAGGGGAGGGGAAATGAGGAGTTGCTGTTCACTGGGTGTGGAGCCTTGGTCACACAAGAGGAAAAAGTCCTTGAGCCCTGTTGTACAATGCTGTGCTTAGAGTTAGCAATACTGCATCGCACACTTAACAATCTATGAAGAGGGTAGATCTCATGTTTCAGTTTTTTTCTTACCACAATGTCACACACACACACACACACACACACAGCCTATGTGGGTGGAGCCCAGCTGCCCACGTTTGCAGGGTCCAGCATTGTAAAGCTGGGCAGATGCAGGAGCGAGCACAGTGTGGTGGGCCGGGTGGAGCTGGGCAGCACAAGTCCCTGGGCAGGGGGACACTGCCACACCAAGTAGAGGCCCAGTGGGAACAGATGGGGTTCTTCCAAAGAAGCCACAAGATCGGAATTTTATTTGAACTTTCCCCTGTTTAATATTCCAAATATTTAAAACTCTCAGCGCTGACCTCCTCCTCCTACCCCCAGCACACTAAAACATCGAGTGTATTCAGCCAGAGAGTGGCCTGTTTATAATCTCTGTACTGCAGAGATTAACTTGACATGTGTATGCAGGATCAATTAGAGAAGAGGGAGCGTCAGAGACAGAGAAAGCAGTTGCGGAAGAAGTAGTGGAAACCTGAACCAGAACTGAGTCGGGAGAAGTTGAGGCGGGAGGGCAGAGCGAATGGGGATTCCAAATGCAGGCAGGCACTGTCTGCCATCTGATTTAGCGTGGGGTGGCGAGGAGATGGGGCAGGAAATAATTTCCACAAGATTTGAAGCATTGGGGACTAAGTTGAAGCCATTGTGCTGATTTCCTCCAAATCCTTGAATATGTAATTACTAAGAAGAGGGATATTCTTTTTCTTTCTTTTTTAAAAAATTTATTTATTTATTTGAAAGACAGAGTTACAGAGAGAGGTCTTCCATCCGCTGGTTCATTCCCCAGATGGCCACAACAGCCGGAGCTGAACCCATCTGAAGCCAGGAGCCAGGAGCTTCTTCTGTGTCTCCCATGCAGGTGCAGGGGCCCAAGCACTTGGGCCATCTTCCACTGCTTTCCCAGGCAATAGCAGGGAGCTGGATCAGAAGAGGAGCAGCTAGGACTAGAACCAGCACCCTTAGGCCATCTTCCACTGCTTTCCCAGGCTATAGCAGGGAGCTGGATCAGAAGAGGAGCAGCTAGGACTAGAACCAGTGCCCATATAGGATGCCGGCGCTTCAGGCCAGGGCTTTAACCCTCTGCGCTACAGTGCCAGCCCCAGGGATATTCTTTTTCATAGCTATGATGCAATGATCAAAATTAGGAAATTTAACCCTGGTACTATCCTGTTATCCAATTCATATCTAACGGTTATTCCAATAAGTATGTGTATGTGTGTGTACATGTTTAAAATGCCAAAACCCATGATCTAGAGAGAACACAAAGAATCCCTCGTAGGAGAGCTGACAGAATTATATAAAATATGCTCCCTGGCTGCACACCTTACCTCTCCAGGATGGTCCCCAGCCACCTCCAAAAGGAAGCACGTGCACAGCCAGGCTGCCGAGCCAGGGGAGCTGCGATGGGGAGTCATCTGCGTCTGCTGGGCACGCACAGCGCGAGGGTGCAGAAATGCTGGGGAAATTCCTCAGGAGAAGGCATGGCCTTGGAAAACTGAGCCCCTTCGGCAAGCAGACAGTAAGCGCTGTGCAGCAGATATCTGTGAATCAGCTCTTAGGGTATTTGTGGGAAGGGACCTTCTTGGAAGGGATAGGACTTGTCTGGAGTGTCCAAGGAGGGGTATGACTTCCCCAGATGACCTGCTTCTGATAGGACGGGATAATGTAGAATGGCCTGAGCTGGGCCAGGCCGAAGCCAGGAGCCAGGAGCTTCTTCTGGGTATCCTTCATGGGTGCAGGGGCCCAGGGACTTGGCCCATCCTCTGCTGCTTTTCCTGGCATATTATCAGGGAGCTGGATCTGAAGTGGAGGAGCCGGGACTCCAACCAGCACCTGTGAGGGATGCTGGTGCTACAGGCCATGGCTTAACCCACTGCGTCACAATGCCGACCCCTCCTTCTGATTCCTTACAACTTTCAGAAGAAATACTGTCATTTAATCGAAGTATATTTGTTCTTCCTTTTCAAGGTGAGGACCAAGGATCACGTGTTTGATAATGTTGGCCACCTTATCAGATACCATATGGATAACAGTTTGCCAATCGTCTCTTCTGGAAGCGAAGTAAGCCTTAAACAACCAGTGAGGAAAGATAATACTCCAGGGCTTTTGCAGTCTAAGAAATGACAATATTGCAGCACCATCACACTGATCTTTCAAGAAACTCCATTTTGTGCTAGGACACAAGGAGAATTCAAACTGTTTTCTAGATAAAATAGAGCACGAACTGCAAAGTGCATCTTCCTGAGACCATCCTGGACTAGGTCCTTTATAAAATAAAGAACTAACAAAGTTGATCTTCAGAAAAGAGGAAGAGGATCGATCCATGTGAAAAGAAATTATACATATGCACGGATGTCACTTTTTAAAGGTCATATTGCATTAATAACAAGCTAAAAGCACAATTAAAATTTCACATGCTAAAGACAACTTGAACTTCTGGGGCTGTGTATGTGCCTTTCAACTTGATAACTTAGGGACATTTTCATATTGGGGATCTTAGTTTTAAGTGTCTTCATGTTCTATAACTACAGAACCATTTGCCAAAAAGGAGGTTTTTCTTGCTGCAAAAAAAATATTAGGGAGCAATTTGCTTGATAGTTATTAACTTTATTACATTTTCTGTTTAGTGGCATTTTTCACTGCAATGTTAAAATAAATATGACATTGAATTCAGACTGTGTCTATGCCATGGAATCAAATCAGAAGCCCTTGAAAGTGCTAGTCCATCCCATTTACTAGTTAAAGGATTGAGGGCTAGAGTCTTTGGCCCAGTATTTCTCAGTCTTTACCACTGGGACCGTCTGCATACAGCATGAGACAAACTAAAGAGATCAGATCCATCCATCATTTCTGGTTTCATCACATTCTCCCTTTCTCTCTGCCCCAAAACATGGCTCAAAGTACATAGGTTTAAGAGATGACAAACAAAACCCGTGTTCTTCATATTCAATATCTACATCGGTTCCATGCTTATTGAAAGCACAAAATTTGAAAGTGTGGGGACATTTTCTTTTGATTGGCTGCCATTGAATCATAGTCTGTCACCTACATGTGTCCTAACACCTTTTCTAAATATGATCAAAGTGGAGAAACATAGTGAATGCAACAGTTGGAAATGTGTGTCACATGTGTATCAGCTGGCAAAATAATGATGGCAGTGTTATGTAGGAGAAAGCACTGGGCTGGAGCTCATCAGTGAGACCTTGAGCAAGCTGCCAAACCTGTCTGGATTCCAGTTTTCTTGTCTATAAGATGAGGAAGCTGAGCTAGTTGAATTCTGAGATCCACTTCAGACCTAACATAGTATGAATCTATAAAAAAAGCAAGTTTTTGATTCGCTAGGAGTCAATATTGATAACCAGTCTATATAGCTAAGGTTAAAATCGGTTATTTTCTTTGACTGTAATCACTGAATGATGCAACATTTGCATAGTTTAGATCCTCAAGCCTTTCTGTTGAAAACATTGCAACTTTGGAATAATATAGATAATGATGATAGAAGTGGAGTTGGTTTGAGTAGCAGAAAATCGTTTCAGCCCTTTATTTGCCTTTGCGTATAGGAAATAAGATCATTATAGTTGTTCAGTTTTAAGTAAAATATTGGAAATTTCTTTCAGATAGATATCACTAGAAACCAAACACATTGGATTCTAATATATTTATGTAAAAGCTATAATTTCATTTTATTTCTACTGCCAGTGATTTCTTAGGTTTTTGCCTTTTATACAACTAGAAAATAATGTGTTTTTCATTAGTTTTCTATCTACCTTAGTTCATCATTTTTCCTCTTAAAGAGGATCAGTATGAATATAGATGATAGAAACTTAACCACATTTATCAGAGACAGGGTAGGGCTGTGTCTCAGTCTGGCTGAGCAGATGTTAACTGGGTAGCGAGAAAGAGTTCTGATACAGTAGATGCAGAGTATAAATGGTGTGAACAGTACACATGGATAATCAGTATTTAACTGTCATGATATAGTAGTTAGGTGAGCAAATACTGCACTTAGAATTCTCACAGACACAGATAAAACAATACCAACAAAAAGGAATGTCTGCATGCTGTTTTAATCTCACATTCTTCAACTGTCTTAATGTGTAAATCCATTTGTCTATAAATACCTGTAAATGACCTTTTTTAAAAAAATAAATGATTATTGCTTTCTGACAGTTGATAAAATATGTCTAATGTTTTGGTTTTGGAAAAATCTATCATATGTAGGCGATTTCAGGAACCTGGAGGGAACAGATGGCTCACTTAAATCGGGTAATATGAGGAGAGTTTAACAAACAGGCAATTTACAAAGGTGTGGGCAGAATGTAGGGAAACCACAGGGGAGAGTGCAGTGTCCTGGGACCAGAGGAGAATGTATGGGAGAGAGCGGTCACCGAATCTAGAGAGAGAACAGTCCTGGTGACTCGGAGAGGCAGCTAGGAGTCTTAACCTGAGTTTTATCTGCTCACCCTCTGCTCCCCTAATGGGATTCCCACCTGGCCCAAGCAACTTGAAGATAGAGCTACTAGATACAATCCAAAAGGCCAGCCTCTTGGGACACAGAGAAGGAGGGAGAAGGGTAGAGGGAGATCTGGAAGGGCAAACAGAACACATCCAGTACTAAAAACTTTGAGACAGTTAAGCTCCTCAAAGGAGATGGTTTGGATTAGCTAATAAGCTAAAGCCAGTTTGCAGAGGAAAAAGTCCATGTATTCAGTTAACTCTATATGAGCCACAGCAAAAATGCCAAATTTTCATTATGAAAAACCTAATAAGCTGGGCTGGCGCTGTGGTGCAGGGGTAAAGCCGCTACTTGCAGTGCCAGCATCCCATATGGGTACTGGTTCAAGTCCCAGCTGCTCTACTTCTGATCCAGCTCTCTGCTATGGCCTGGGAAAGCAGCAAAAGATGGCCCAAGTGCTTGGGCCCATGCACCCACTTGGGAAACCTGGAAGAAGCTCCTGGCTCCTGGCTTCAGATTTGCCCAGCTCTGGCCATTGCGGCCATTTTGGGTGTGAACCGGCAGATGGAAGACCTTTCTCTCTGCCTCTGCCCCTCTGTAACTCTGCTTTTCAAATTAATTAATTAATTTTAAAAACCCAATAAACTGTATTTTGAGGTTTGGTTATTTTGGTCAAGAATAACTTCAAATACATTAATTCTTAGATACTGTTAATCTTCGATCTTCATGCTCTTGCAAGTCCTTCTATTAATTTTTCCATTTTCTTCCCAGGGTTTTATCTGGAAAAATAATGAACCTCACGTCACTGCCTTTTATGATTGGAATCATAGATCCACATAGATTACAGTATGAGATAATTTCTTACTATGTCATGCACATATATGAGACATATCATCTCTAAATGTGGAAGATATTTAAATATACACACATTAATGTTAAATTCATTGCTATTTAATCTTTTTGAGCTTATCTTATATGAGGTTAAAAAAGACTCTTTCCTTCATTGGTATGCTTCTATGTGCTCTAGCGTTAGTAGGCCCTCTTAACCTATCTGTAGATTGTTATAATTTTGCCAATGGAACAAATAACATTATTAGTGTGGGAATGAAAGAGAGGTTACTACCGCAGACCTACAGACAAAAGGAATAAGAGAATGCTACACAAAATTCTATACACATGAATTGAACAATTTAGATGAGACAGACCAATTCCTCCAAAAGCCTAAACTACTACATACCATTCAATATGAAACTGATCATTTGAGTAACCTTTTAACTATTAAGAAAAATTGAATTCAAAATTAAAAATCTCTGAAAGAAATTTTGGCTCAGATGGATTCACTGGACAACTCTATCACTTAAATAATTAGCACCAATGCTATGTGACCACTTCCAGAACTCTAAAGAGAAGGGAACACTTCTCAATTTATTTTTTGAAGCTAATATTACTCTGACATCAAAAGCAGACATAGTACAAAAACAAAAATACCACAGACTATAGACCAATATCCCCTTGAATAGAGATGTGAAATCTTCAACAAAATGTTAGCCACACTAGATGGCTTAAAATAACAGAAGCTCATGTTCACAGTTCCAGAAGCTGGAAGTCTACAGTCAAGGGATGCTCTCTCTAAAGGCTTCAGGGAAAAAACCTTCCAACACATTCCTTGGCTTATGGCAACATAACTCCAATCTCCAGTTCCATCTTCACAGAACTGTCTTCTCCTGGTGCCTCCATGTCTCACATACATACACCAGTCATTAGATTTAATCCAGTGTGACCTCATGTTAAGTAATTACAACTGAGAAAGTCTATTTCCAAATAAAGTCACCTTCTGAAGTTCCAGATAGACACCAACTTTGGGAGGACATTTTTGAACTGCTATATGAGCCAAGTCAGCTTAAGTCAAACAGTATTTTTCTTTAAAGTTCAGGTATCACAGAATCCAAGGAAAAGTGAACTGTCAGGCATTTCAAAGTGCAGAAATGCAGCAGATCTATGATGAATGGCAGAAGTTCATGATCTTACCTGGGATGTATATATGACACAGGGAGGCAGCACATCTCCCACATAATACAGACAAGTGTAATAAAACGTTGCTTCTTGGCTGGTGCCGTGGCTCACTAGGCTAATCCTCCGCCTGCGGCGCCGGCACCCCAGGTTCTAGTCCCGGTTGCCCCTCTTCCAGTCCAGCTCTCTGCTGTGGCCTGGGAGGGCAGTGGAGGATGGCCCAAGTGCTTGGGCCCTGCACCCGCATGGGAGGCCAGGAGGAAGCACCTGGATCCTGGCTTCGGATCAGCGCAGCACACTGGCCACAGCGGCCATTTAGCGGGGTGAACCAACGGAAGGAAGACCTTTCTCTAAATAATAATAAAAATGTTGCTTCTCTTTTATATGACTACTTCTTTACTCTGTTTCATAGAGTCCTAGTTATCTGGGATGGAATATGATTGTCCCACGTTCGTCTGGTGCTCACTCTTGATCTGTGACTAGAACTCGGGGGAGGGGACATGGAATGGTGACAGTGGTGAGGTTGTGGTAGCCATGAGTGTGAGAAGATTCTGTGAGAATGGGCTTGGGGAAAGCAGACATTTTGACCACAATGTCAGTGTTGAACGAACTCCTATAACAGGGGTTGGTCTTAAGTACTTGTTTGCTCAAAAAATATTGTTGAATATATTACAAATCATGAGGCAGTCTTTCTTAGTTCTGGTTTCATCTCTAGCATTTTCCTATTTTTTTCCTGTTCTCATAGAGCTGTATCATTTGTGTAGTCCTTTGTCTCATTCCATATGCCCCTGTCATCCTCTGCAAACCTTACCCTTCAATTCTGCCACCCACTTTCAGAACACCTTAGTATTTGCATGGTAGTGATTGTACTGTCTTGCTTTTTCTTTACTGGTTCAGATCCCAGTATACAGTCTAGTCCAGTAAGCCATAATACAAAGAAACACAATAGATGAAATAATTTTAAATAGTGTTTCTACATTTTAAAAGCTCTTTTCACACAATCTCCTTTCATCTTTCCCACAATACTGAGAAGCAGGTATTATTCCTGTTTTCAGATAAGGAGTTTGAGGGTTTTGAGTGTTAAATAAGGTGTGGAGAAAAGCAAATAGGTGGGAGAGCTGGAACTTGCATTTTTTTTTTTTTTTTTTTTTTTTTTTTACAGGCAGAGTGGACAGTGAGAGAGAGAGAGAGACAGAGAGAAAGGTCTTCCTTTGCCGTTGGTTCACCCTCCAATGGCCACCGTGGCTGGTGTACCGCGCTGATCTGAAGGCAGGAGCCAGGTGCTTCTCCTGGTCTCCCATGGGGTGCAGGGCCCAAGCACTTGGGCCATCCTCCACTGCATTCCCTGGCCACAGCAGAGAGCTGGCCTGGAAGAGGGGCAACCGGGACAGAATCCGGCGCCCCGACCGGGACTAGAACCTGGTGTGCCGGCACCACAAGGCGGAGGATTAGCCTAGTGAGCCGCGGCGCCGGCCTAACTTGCATCTTCTTACTCTGAGTTCAATGCTGTTTTGGAGAGAGAACTCCTTGATGATAGCGCTTTGGATGTCCCTCCCATGGTGGCATTGCTTGGATCTGATAGCTTTGACACTAAAGAGAAGGCAGGAAAAAGAAGTAAGGGTGGTTTGGCTCAGCTTTACAACCTTGTTAGTGGGAGGAATCCCATCTCCTCAATAATGAGACATTGAAGTATAAACAAGTTGGTTAAAGGTAAGAGTCCCACCCAACTCACAGGTGTGTCCAGAATGCAAGACAAACATTTACCCAATGTTCCACAAATAATCCCTTGCTGTGTATTTAAGATGTCTGGTGATTTTTCTCTCTTCCTCCACACTTGTCTTTATTAACCTAGAAGCTTCTGTCAGTCATGTTTCTCTGGGTGTATTATGCTTGTGGCTTGTGCACACTGCACCTTAACTTGTGTGGTGCCTTTACTATTCCTCCAGGCTTCAAGCTCTTCTGTGATTAGTTCCTAGCTGCCTATCTCTAAAGAATAAATCTTCATTTTCAGTGGACTGTCTTTTAAAACATATTTTTGCTTTATTTTCACTTTATTTGAGAAAGAGAGAGATTATCTTCCATCTGCTAGTTCACTCCTGAAGT